TACATACATACATACATACATACATACATATATACATACATACATACATACATACATACATACATACATACATACATACATACATACATACATACATACATACATACATACGTACATACGTACATACATACATACATGCATACATACATACATACATACATACATACATACATACATACATACATACATACATACATACATACATACATACATACATACATACATACAGGTATGATAAGTATCACTAAGTATAAAATGGAACCGATCAGGAGACGGGAAGATACGAGCTTTGGGCTCTTTCCCGTAGACACAATTAGGTAATCACAATTAGGTAATCACACACACACACACACACACACACACACATATATATATATATATATATATATATATATATATATATATATATATATATATATATATATATATATATATGAATAATTTTTTTTTACCCTCACCGGGACTCGAACCTAGGACTTATAATTACTAAGTCAAGGCGCTACCAACTACACACCACAGAAGGTTAAAAGGAATCCAACCTTATAGCTTATATCTGCTATACTTAGGGATGAATGCATTGTATCTGAATGCCACTATGTTCATATTACAGATTCCCCAACCTCACTCGTGTCTTCATGTTAGCATTTAATTCAATTCCCAATCTCATTCTGGTTATACAATAACCAAGCAAGCACATTACATATGTGAAAACATGAATCATTTTTTACCCCGCCCGGGACTCGAACCTAGGACTTATAATTACTAAGTCAAGGCGCTACCAACTACACACCACAGGAGGTTAAAAGGAATCCAACCTTATAGCTTATATCTGCTATACTTAGGGATGAACGCATTCTATCTGAATGCCACTATGTTCATATTACAGATTCCCCAACCTCACTCGTGGCTTCATTTTAGCATTTAATTCGATTCCCAATCTCATTCGGGTCATACAATAACCAAGCAAGCACATTACATATGTGAAAACATGAATAATTTTTTTTACCCCGCCTGGGACTCGAACCTAGGACATATAATTACTAAGTCAAGGCGCTACCAACTACACCCCACAGAAGGTTAAAAGGATAGAATGCGTTCATCCCTAAGTATAGCAGATATAAGCTATAAGGTTGGATTCCTTTTAACCTTCTGTGGTGTGTAGTTGGTAGCGCCTGGACTTAGTAATTATAAGTCCTAGGTTCGAGTCCAGCTCGGGGTAAAAAATGATTCATATTTTCACATATGTAATGTGCTTGCTTGGTTATTGTATGACCCGAATGCGATTGGGAATTGAATTAAATGCTAAAATGAAGCCACGAGTGAGGTTGGGGAATCTGTAATATGAACATACTGGCATTCAGATACAATTCGTTCATCCTTAAGTATAGCAGATATAAGCTATAAGGTTGGATTCCTTTTAACCTACTGTGGTGTTACCGCCTTGACTTAGTAATTATAAGTCCTAGGTTCGAGTCCCGGTCGGGGTAAAAAATGATTCATGTTTTCACATATGTAATGTGCTTGCTTGGTTATTGTATGACCCGAATGAGAATGGGAATTGAATTAAATGCTAAAATGAAGCTACGAGTGAGGTTGGGGAATCTGTAATATGAACATAGTGGCATTCAGATAGAATGCGTTTATCCCTAAGTATAGCAGATATAAGCTATAAGGTTGGATTCCTTGTAACCTTCTGTGGTGTGTAGTTGGTAGCGCCTTGACTTAGTAATTATAAGTCCTAGGTTCGAGTCCAGCTCGGGGTAAAAAATTATTTATGTTTTCACATATGTGATGTGCTTGCTTGGTTATATATATATATATATATATATATATATATATATATATATATATATATATATATATATATATATGAATCATTTATACTCCGACCGGGACTTGGACCTGGGTCTTATAATTACTAAGCCAAGACGCTACCAGCTACACCACAGAAGGTCTAAAAGGAAACAGACCTAACAGCTTTTATCTGCTGCACTAAGGATGAATGCATTCTATCTGAATGCCACTATGTTCACATTACAGTTTCCCCCAACGTCATTGTGGTTTCGTTTTTAAATTTTTTTCTTTTATGAGTGTGACACCGAGACAGGCAAAAACTTCCCTAATCAATAAAGGCCCGGGCTCAAGAAAACACCAAGACGAAGGAAAAGAAAAAGGTTAAGGACAAGGCAGAGATGAGGTAATATCACACGAAGGAAAATGACAGACAGAAAAAACAGTCAAAGTACAGAGGACCCTAAGATATGGAGGACTAGACCCTGAGATGACGATAGCTCCGCTTTTAAAAGGATGATAGGTCATAAGAGTTGGGAAAGACAGAAGGAGGAAGAGAGTTCCAGAGTCTGGAGGTAGATGGGAAGAAGCAGTTGCTGCACCGACCAATCCATGAGCTGCAAATCTCCACATAATACCTGTGAGATGAGCTCGTTTGGAGAGTGTAACTCGGCCTCGGCAGTGGGGAAGGGATGCAACTCACCAACTCATCAGAGCAGCGATGGAAGTAGTAGCTATAGAAAAGATAAAGGGAAGATACCTTACGGCGAAGAGAGAGCGAGAATCCAAATTAGAAGTAACAGAAGGATCATTAATGATTCTGACTACCTTAGATTCAACCTTATCAAGGAAATAAGTATAAGAAGAAGTACCCCAGATGTGTGAGCAGTATTCTGAGCAGGGACAGATAAGACCCTTATAAATTTTAAGTAACTGTACTGAGGAAAAGTGATGACGGAACCGAAACAAGCTCCCAATATTTTGGATGAAAACTTAGAAATTTGGATTATGTGATTCCTCCAAGACAAGTTAGAGACTGTATAGATTTCTAATATGGATTCCTAAAATGTTAAAAGACTTAAGAGGGTAAATTTCGTTAGCTTTGAAGACAATTGGGTTATCAGAAGGCAAAAAAATTAAAGAGATAGCTAGAAATTGTGTCTTGAAGGCATTGAATTTAACTAAATTTTGACTGCCCCACTCAGATACTCTCTGCAAATCAGAGCTGAGAGTAGAAGAAAGAGTGATACGAGACTGATTACGAGTAGTAGATGAAGGTTGTGAAGAAAAGGCAGAGGAAAAGTGAAGGGAAGAATCATCAGCTAAGGCATGAAGAAGAGAGGAAAGATGGGGATTGTAGAAGATAATTGATGAAGAGAGGGAACAGAGTAGGTGAAAGAACAGAGCCCTGTGGAATGCCACTGGTAATTGAGAAAGGGCTAGATGTCGCACCATCAACAACTACAGATATAAAACAGTCAGAAAGAAAACTGGAAATCAGAGAACAGAAAGAAGGGGTAATGCTATAGGCAGGGAGTTTGGTCAACAGAGCCTTGTGCCAGACTCTGTTAAAAGCCTTAGAGATATCAAGGGTGACGACAAAGGATTCCCCATAGTTCCTCAGAGAAGCTGACCATACATGAGTAAGATAGGACAGGAGGTCACCAGTGGATCATGCCTTGCGGAAGTCATACTGGTGATCGGAGATAAGTGAGTTAGATCCAAGGCGTTTCAGGAAGTGAACATTAAGCAAAGTTTTGAAAACTTAAGCAATAGAGGAGGTTAGGGCAATAGGTCGGTAGTTTGAAGGAATAGAGTGGTCACCCTTCTTAGGAACAGGTTGAACTAGAGCATGCTTCCAAGATGAAGAATGGATACTGGTTGACAGAATGAGGCAAAGAAGATGGCAAAGCACGGAAGCCTGTTCGTCTACAAACTCCTTAAGGAACCTTGCAGGGATACCATTGAGACAAGATGCCTTGTTCGTCTTTAGCGAGCAAAGAACTTTGTGAACTTTGCGTGAAGAAAGGATAAGGAAGGGCATAGGGTTAGAGAGGGGTAAAGACTGAGGAACAGGTGCGCTGGAATCGTTTATAGTAGAGTTGGCAGAAAAATGAGAGCCGAAGAGAGTGGCTTTGTCAGTGGGAGAGCAAGCTATAGAACCATCAGAATGAATGAAAGGGGGAAAGCTTGAGTTACAGAAGTTTTTGGAGAGGTTTTTGGCTAAAGACCAGAAGCATTTGTCAGTGGGAGATGAGTTAAGGTCATCAACTTTCCTTCTTATAAAGGAAGACTTAGACCTTCGAATCTGAACAGTACAGCGATTCCTAGCTATAATAAAAGCAGAGTGAGTTGAATCAGAAGGAGAGGCTTGGCAAGATCGGTGTGCCCGATTCCTGGCCTGGATAGCCATGGAGCAGGCACGGTCAAGCCAAGGTTTAGGGGGAGAGAAAGTTTTTATAGAAGAGGGGATGTACGCCTCCATTCCAGAGGTCATGATCTCGGCAACTTTTAGAGCTATCTGAGCAGGGTTATTGGACCGAAAGCAGTAATCATCCCATGGGAAGTCAAAGAGGAAGTTACTCAAATTTTCATGTTGGGTACGCTCAAAGTGCCAAAGGTGGCGCTGAGTAGGAGGGATTGGTGGAGAAGGAGCAAATATGGAAGAAACTGAGATCAGAGAGTGGTCAGATATGCCAAGAGGGTAAAGCACAAAATAAGAGTAATTTAAAGGGTTAGAAGTGAGAAATAGGTCAAGAGTGTTTGCTGCATGTTCGTGACAATCAAGAACACGAGTAGGATGTTTGATAATTTGCTCCAGATCGTGAGTAATAGAGAAAGCAAGGGCCTCACTTCCTCCCACATCAGTGTGAGAAGAATTAGGCCACTTACTGTAGTGTACATTGAAGTCTCCAATGTAAAGAACTTCGGCATGTGGGTGACAAGATAACAAGGACTCATGGCACAAGGAGAGATATTCAAAGAATAACACAAACTCGGTGGAGTTTGGAGAACAGTAGCTGAAGCAAAGAAAAATAGAGGTAGTGGAGAGATAGATTTTGAGCCAGGAGATTCAAGGTCCATGAGCCTCACAATAGGAGTGTTAGTGTTGCAGTACGCACAGACCCCACATTTGGAATGAAATGAGCATACAGATTATAGTGAGAGATTTGAAATGGGTCAGTGGAAGCATGTATAGACATGTATAA